AACCTGTCCCCCTGCCTTCCCCACTACAGAAATCTGTCCCTCTGTTCCCCTCTGCAGAAACCTGCCACCCCCAGCACCCTGTCCCCTGCTTCAGAAACCTGTCCTTCTGGCACCCTGCCCCCTCTCCCCTGCCCCCACTGGCACCCTGTTCTCTGCCCCACAACCGACTAGCACCCTTCCTCAGTACCATGTCCCCTGCTCTCAACTGTCTTTTCTGTGGGTCAGTGACCCCTGACTCAAGACAGGTTCCCTGCCCTTCTCAAATAAATACAACGCAGAAATTTTGTGTTTGACATAGTATTTTATTTAACCAAGCCCCATCTGGCCACAGCATCATAACATTCCTGCATGCCCTTTTCCCGCAGACCCTAGATTTGAGCCTATCATACAATGGAACCCCTTGCCCAGAGCCCCTCACACCCCCCCCCAACCCAAATCCCTGCCCCCCCCCACCCACAAGCCTGTGGCTTGCTTAGAACCCCAACACTTCCTGGCCTGGAGCCCCCTCCCCGAGACAGTGTTCCCTTCTCCACCTCCTACTGCATCCAGATTTCTTCCCAGAGCTTACAACTCTCACCTCTTCCCACACCCAAATCCCTCATTCATACCCCAGTGACTACACATCCTGTCTCAACCCAGCGAGGGTCCGGCTAGACTGCAGGAGTTTTTCAGGATTCTGGAGATATCCCAGAAAAACTCTTCTGCATCCAGGGTTGCATTTGTTCTTCTGCTTTTTTAGTGGAAGAGCAAACATGCTCTTTCGGTAACCCCTATATTCCTCTTTCCACAAGGAATAAGGGGGCTTCCAAAAGAAGGGTTTTTTTTCTGACATTTGGTCCATTCTAGACAGGCCAAATGTTGGAAAAACCTCTTCCTACAGAAGAATTTTTTTTAAAAAAAGCAGCAGTATAAGAATTGGGGATAGCAGGTGATGGAGAGGAGGAGAATAGAAAGGGCCGGGCTTCAAGGAAGGGGCTTGGTCTGTCATTTAAAAAGTGATCTTGGGTGTAAAAAGGTTGGAGACCACTGTTCTACTACTTTTGACTCCATTAATTATTGCTTCATTTTTTAATCTCCTTGTAAGGTGAATTTAAGGTTGCAGGCATGTGTCAGTAATGTATGTGTGTGTTTCCCTTTAAATCCATTAGTTATAGTAAAGAAACAAAATATTACCCAGGAAATTCTGAATTTGATTAAAATTACAAGTAACCTTAATATTTTAGAGTATGGAAGTTCAGAGTTGAAGTAGGGAGACTATAGTTACTCTCCCTTATGAGATTCTACCCCACCCCAGCACTTGGAACATACTGAGCATTAGGACAAATTATTAGTAACACCTGCCCCCCGCCCTCAATCCAGGCTTTTTCATGGTGGGGCA